TGGCTACAAACTGCGGAGAGCCAAATTTCAGGCGGTGCATTCTCGATTTGATTCTCGTGCAATCATCGTAATAACCATGACCTGCGTAATTTTTGATGGCCATTAGAATGATTATGTGTTTCAGTCATATATCTTCACATCGCGAGCTACCAGACAGCATTTAATGCATGGCATCACCTGCTTTGTCTGACATAACGGGCGTAACACAGTACATCCACCTTATCTATCCATCACCATCATCGATCTCCACGCACACAAGTTGATAACTTGAGCGGAATCGATTCATGTCGCAAGTTAGGCCCGCCGCGTGCGACGCCTGAAGGCCCATCGCATTCCGTTGGCGCTGCTCGCCGCTCACACGCACCACATATGGCATCATTATGGACATCATCTAGCCCCATCCCCTGCGGCACTGCCGGCGATCCTTGCGCCTGGCCGCGACTTCCTAACGGTCGCCGCCCGACCGCATTAACGGGCCATCGTGACTGGCGGGGCTGAGTCGGGTCCACCACCGACTGGCGGGCGCTGAGCGGGTCCACCACGTGACTGGCGGGCGCTGAGTCGGGTCCACCATCGACTGGCGGGCGCTGAGTCGGGTCCACCATCGTGACTGGCGGGCGCTGAGTCGGGTCCACCATCGTGACTGGCGGGCGCTGAGTCGGGTCCACTACGTCGGCACACGCGGGAGCTAGCATGACACTGGTTGCACGTAACTTGCGTGGTTCCCGCGCCACCAGTTTTACAATTGCCGATTCGAGCAAGCGCAAGATGAAGGTCATTGTCAGCGACCCGCCCCCCCCCCCCCCCCGCCCTTGACGACGGGTGCCATGTGACACTGTTGCCATCTGCGGACCCGTGCCCTCCCGTGGGTCCCACGCAAGATCTCCGCCGCTCGGCCTCTCGGCCACCACAGCCCATCTCATGAGCAGCAGGCAACTCAGACCAGCTGCAGGTGCGATGCATAGAACTCATCCCCTTACGCTGAGACACTGACTGAACTGAATCTGATGTCCCTGACGCACCGTCACATCAATCCACAGCCACAACATACGCACTGATCAAGCTCTTTGGCTGATTGTTTTTGAGTGGTGAGCAACCACAGCATTGCAGGTATAGACCATTACAGTCATAGAACATTCATGACAGAGTAATATCGTGATGGGCTCGTAGTCGACTCTAAACTCCATTTAATTGCTCTTCTTGGAATGGCATTCATGAATCAGGGACGAGATCGGACTCATGTCCAGTGTAATTGAATCTCTCGGATTTGGATTCATACTCAAGGCACTGGAGCATGGACCGAAGCAAGATTCAACATCTCAGTGCCTCGACCTGGAGCCCTGACTCAAGCAACCTTGGAGGGATTCACCAAAGACTCGAAGCGGCATGCTCGGACTGATACCTCGGCATTATGACTAAGCCCGGCGCCCACCACTAGGTCCCCTCGTCGCCCCCCTCGCGCTGGATCCAGAGCGTCTCATACGCGTGCGCCAGGCCGATGCCGGGGAACTCGCCGAAGGACTTGATCGTGGCAAGCCGGAACCCGGCCGTCTCCAGCGCGCGCAGCGTCCTTAGCTGATGGCGCGCGTCCTCCTCCAACAGCTGGTGCTGCCAGCTCGGGTTGTCGCTGAGCGTCCCGTGCGGGAACATCAGGTGGAACTCGATAGCCACCTGCGGCGTGCCGCGCAGCGCCGTGCCGCCGGCGGTCAGCTGGTGCTGCAGCACGTTCCACTCGCTGCCCTCAGCGTCCAGCTTAATGTAGTCGATGCGACGGCCCTCGTGGCCCAGCGCGCTCTTGAGGTCGTCGAGCGTCATCAGCGGCAGATCGCGGCCATCGGCGGTGCGGTGCGTCCACGTGCGTCCGTCGATGCCGATGAGGTGGTGCTGCACGCCCGCCGGCAGCGACGTCATTTTGGCCACCGTCGGGTCGAACGCGTGCACCTCGCACCCGAAGCGCGCCATCTCGACCTCGAACGACGGATCGGTCCTGACGCCGAACGAATAGACCAGGCACGGCTCGCCCTCCGGCAGCAGCCCCGCGTCCAGGCACACCGGCTTCTTGCCGTCCATGGCGGCGACCACTTCACACTGGCCGCCGTCATTCCCCGAACAAAAGCACTTGCCGCCCGGCTGCATCAGCCGGCGGCAGTGCGTGCGCAGGTTGGCCTCCGAGAGCGCCCGAGCCAGCTGCTGGTACACCTGGAGGCCGGAAGCGCTTCGACGGCGCGGGCGCGGTCCCACGCGCTGCAGCCGGTGCAGTCCTCCGACACGGATCTGGAGCGGAAGCGGTGCTGTGACAGGGCATGGTCTGGATGGTCATCTATGCTTGAGCCAGCGGCCATCTGGCTGGATGGCATGGTGGCAAGGAACAAAGTCACAAGTATGAAGTATTACATGAATATATCACAAGGTTTGAAGGCATCACAAGCTATGATGAATATCAGAAGGTATGAAGGTATCACAGGGTATGAATGTATCACAAGGTACAAAGGTATCAAAAGGTATCAATATATCAAAGATATAATGTATCGCAAGATATAGAGATATCAGTAGGTATGAAGGTATCAAAAGGTATGAAGTTATCAAAGGGTATGAAGATATCACAAGATATGAGTGTATCACAGGGTATGAAGGTATAAAAAGGTATGGAAGTATCACGAGGTGTGAAACTATCACAAGTTATGCAGGTATCGAAAGATATGAGGGTATTACAAGGTATGAAGTTAACAAAGGGCATGAAGGTATCAAAAGACATGAGGTATCACAAGGTACGAGTGTATCACAAGGTATACAGGCATCCCAAAGTATGAAGGTATCACAAGGTACGAGAGTAACACAAGGTATGAATATATGACAAGGTGGTATGAAGTCATCACACTTTACAAGTATAAGCCATAAGACATCCAGTAAGTGGCAATGCGCCAAAGTATAATTGGCCGAAATTGCAGCATGTGTCTTCGCCACAAAACCCTAAAAGACACGGACAAGTCATAAGCAGTGGGAAATTCAACACCAGCTGAATTATATTATGGAGAAAAAAACATCATGATGTTGTACGTGCCCCACCCCAGCTGTCCTCAGAGAATCCTCTTTCGGTTTAAAAGCGCCAATTTGGACTCCATGATGCACTCTGTTCCGTGATGTACCTTCGGTATAAGCCCTCATGTCATCTGCTCTATCCTGTTCCGCTTTCCATCTCACCCTACCCCTGACACTGTCCCTGCAATCTCCTACCTTGCCGAGGTCTCCCACCCGGCACCAAGCCTGACACCGGCCCTGCAATCTCCTGCCTCGCCGAGGTCTCCCACCCGGCACCAAGCCTGACACCGGCCCTGCAATCTCCTACCCTGCCGAGGTCTCCCACCGGGCACCGAGCCTAGCACCGGCCCCGCCGCGATCTCCAGCCTCGCCGAGGTCTCCCACCGGGCACCGATCCTGGCACCGCCCCTGCAATCTCCTTCCTCACCGAGGTTTCCCACATGGGACCGAGCCTGGCACCGCCCTTATCATCCCTCGCCTGGTCGGTGTGCTCCGCCCCAACCATGAAGTTACCGTGAAGCAGGTACGTGTCCCCCACCCTGGGTGGGGGGGGGGGGACACGGCGCCATACCGTGCCCCTGCGACCTCTCACCTGTCTTGTCGGTCATTGATCTTGAGTGAGGGGGACGACAGGACAAACAGAACGCCGCCGCCAGCCAGCAGGAGCAGCAGCAGCAGTCGTTTTCGAGGAACGAACGCACCGCGCGCGTTCCCAAGCGACGTCATCGAGACCTGCGGGAAGCGACGACGCCACTGATGACTGGACGTCAAGTGGCGACGACGCTACTGAGGACGATTTACGTTGTTCATCGCGGCAAATATGACGCTACGTAGGAAAACATTTGTGATATGGGGAGGGGGAGGGGAAGAGTTGACAAGTGCCGGTTTACAAGCAAGCCGAATCCGCTCCCGGTCCTCCTTGCTCATCCGTTGAAAATACGAAAATTCTGAGGTGTTTTCACCTAAAAAGACGAGCCACCGCAATTCATGAGTGGCCAGTGCTTAAAGGAATCAACAAAGGTAAAATATAATTGAAGAGTTACAATGGACCACATCAGCGGACCGCTTCACACCAAGCGCGAGAGCGGCGCAGCTGTCTTCTCGCCGGCCCCCTCAGGGCTCAGGTTTCGGGTCAATGTACTGTCGTGCGGCCCACGGTTCCGGGACCGGGGTCGCTGTGACCGTCCTTCCCGACCGGAAACAAATGGTTTCTCTTTGCTTTCTCCCAGTTTTGTCGCGCAAACGCGGCAGCCAGGTTCTGCGCGGCTCCGGGATGGGAATGCACGGCAGGTGCAGACAGACAGACAGACAGACAGACAGACAGACAGACAGACAGACATACAGACAGACAGACAGACAGACAGACAGACAGACAGACAGACAGACAGACACAGACAGACAGACAGACAGACAGACAGACAGACAGACAGACAGACAGACAGACAGACAGACAGACAGACAGACAGACAGACAGACAGACAGACAGACAGACAGACAGACAGACAGACAGACAGACAGACAGACAGACAGACAGACAACAGACAGACAGACAGACAGACAGACAACAGACAGACAACAGACAGACAGACAGACAGACATACAGACAGACAGACAGACAGACAGACAGACAGACAGACAGACAGACAGACAGACAGACAGACAGACAGACAGACCGACAGACAGACAGACAGACAGACAGACAGACAACAGACGACAGACAGACAGACAGACATACAGACAGACAGACAGACAGACAGACAGACAGACAGACAGACAGACAGAGAGACAACAGGCAGACAGACAGACAGACAGACAGACATACAGACAGACAGACAGACAGACAGACAGACAGACAGACAGACACAGACAGACAGACAGACATACACAGACAGACAGACAGACAGACAGACAGACAGACAGACAGACAGACATACAGACCGACAGACAGACAGACAGACAGACAACAGACAGACAGACAGACGACAGACAGACATACAGACAGACAGACAGACAGACAGACAGACAGACAGAGACGACAGACAACAGACAGACAGACAGACAGACAGACAACAGACAGACAGACAGACAGACAGACACAGACAGACAGACAGACAGACAGACAGACAGACAGACAGACAGAGAGAGAGAAGAGAGAGAGAGAGAGAGAGAGAGAGAGAGAGAGATAGAGAGAAGAGAGAGAGATAGAGAGATAGAGAGAGAGAGATAGAGAGAGATAGAGAGAGAGCGAGAGAGAGAGAGAGAGAGAGAGAGAGAGAGAGAGAGATAGAGAGAGAGAGAGAAGAAGAGAGAGAGAGAGAGAGAGAGAGAGAGAGGAGAGAGAGAGAGAGAGAGAGAGAGAGAGAGAGAGAGAGAGAGAGAGAGAGAGAGAGAGAGAGAGAGAGAGAGAGAAGAGAGAGAGAGAGAGAGAGAGAGAGGAGCGAGAGAGAGAGAGAGAGAGAGAGAGAGAGGAGAGAAGAGAAGAGAGAGAGAGAAAGAGAGAAGAGAGAGAGAGAGAGATAGAGAGAGAGAGAGAGGAGAGAAGAGAGAGAGAGAGAGAGAGAGAGTGAGAGAGAGAACGTAGGACATAGCAAAAAATTAAGATAAGACTGTTCTTACAGTCACTTGACCTGTTCATGTGGTCAGTAGCACTCAAACTATGTCCCCTTATGGCACCTTGGATTCACCACTGGCAGCTCACGTGAAGTACACCTTACAGGAATGGGATCGACCTGGATATGGCAAAACCGTGTTATAGCTCACGTTCGGCAACACTTCGGCCGCATATGGTCAGAGAACTTGGAACGGCACATCCACCATAAACGGCCCGAGCTTCAACCTTACGTGCCTCCCTAAAGCCGCTCTCGCAGTTGCCTCTTTCTGATGGCATTAGCTGAACGTGTGACGCGATCCGTCAAATTGATTTTAAAGAATCTCACGAAGCTTCAGAAATGCATCTGCAAAAACTAACGAGAATGAAGAACCCTCCCTGGGCGATGCAGATAGTACTAAATTATCGGGGGCGTGCACTGCGTCTTCGTGGCCTGCAATAACACAAAGGCCATAACGGGCCGCAGTTCCACACCTCGGAGTGTTTTCGCACGTGACGCCTCTTGCAAAGAGCGGAATGAGAGATCAGCCGATGGCTTTTCAGCAAGCGCTGAAGACATGACCGAGCTCATGGTGCCTGCCTCGACGCCAAATAGGCCACGGGTCTGGTAGTTCGGGTCACGTTCGCACGAGTGAAGCAGGCCACCACCTACTGCGCGTGAGAAGCGGCCGACTGCAGCTGGGACGATGCACTGAGGCAGCCTGCAGCAAGGCGTGACGCGGCCACCTAACGGTGGCCTCGGGCTTGTCCTGCACTCGCGGCGTCCCGAACCGTTACCGGAAGCGGTTGTGCTAGTGGGACCAACGCTGCAACGCGAGAGGTGGAGTCGCAGAACCCGCTCGGCCGTGGTGTGTCCCATCCGAACCCGCGGTCGGCCGTGGTGAAACGTTGTCCCATCCAAACCCACGGGTGGGCTAGGCTGTGGGCGGGGCGGCATAAATGAAGCGGTGTTACGACAATGGAAACAGGAAAATGATAGCAAGAAATACAAGCTATGAAATGCAGCAATTCGGCGCTTGGCTGCTCCGGATTTGGACTTTTGGGAACATAGAAACTCTGCGTGTTGTATTCTTACATGCCCGTACGATGTGCATTAGGCCGCACGAACTGTCGTGTGTATTTCTGCGTGCCCGTCGAGCCTGGAAAAGTAAAGGCGCTCTAGTGATGAAAAAGGCGTTGTGATGACGATGCATGTGTGCTGCTGATGATGCATCCAACAGGCCGTCCTGACGTGCCGACTTGCGGTGCCAGAGTAGCAGTAGATAGCAGAAGTAGCAGAAGACTCATGCTGACGAGAAAAACGACGGTGCATCTAAAGTCTGTGGATGCATCATTTGTCACTCACTTCTTGGGATTACTCTCACCAGCAAAGATGTCGCCTCATAATAATTTGAGTACCCGCTCAAGTTATGCTTGTGGTATTGCTATTTTTCATTTTGAACATTTGCCTCGACAATCTTTATGCATGAATGCAACTTCTTGAATCATGCATCACACAAGTCAGCTTAGAATGGTCTGATCACAGGCTTACTTTCGTCCACTTTAACTTAGTTTTGCTTACTTTTGATTAGCTTCCTTTTGTGCTATCTAAAGCATGGATACGGATGCAGAAAACTCGGTGGTCTGTTTGCGGAATGGTTTGGATGAGTAAAGCACATGCGATTGTACACACGGCGAAACAGCCATAACTATGTCCATCATAGCAATCAGGACAGTTACTTATTTTTGAAAAAATATATATTTGGCAGATTAAGAGCGGACAAAGTCGTCCCCCTGCACCCGCTTGCCCGGTCGTCGGGCTTGTTATATTTCGCTTCATATTAAGCCTTGAAAACCCTTCAAAATCCACCCCCCCCCCCCCACCCGAATACCCCTGCCCACGCCAGTCTATTTTACAACCATTATCTGCCCCTGGAGTATATGTGCGTTCAACATATAAACAAAATACGTAACGTCACGGGTATATGCAGGATATTCAAACAGGACTATAATGGACGTTGTCAAAGCGGGGGGCTACCCTCAAGCACATACGGAGCAATATTTTATCATCAGCAACGCAGAAATAGGCGAACGTTTTGGCATGGATGGCTCCAGGGCGGTTATTGGTGTCGCGAAAAGGGAGACGACTATTATATATCACGTTCAGCCATAACACCGTCGTGCGTTTTAAATGGAGCATGATGCCCATACACGATCTAAGGACAGATGTTCGCTGCCGCGGAGGTTTTTCTCAAAGCGGCAGTGAAAAGCGGACTGTCACGTAAAGAGGACTGGACTCGAGACCTCCAGAGGGAAGACTCGACTCAGCTCCGGCATGTTTGGTTAGCCCTAAGTGTAAGCCTAATTAGCTTAAGATCTGCACGCTGCACAAAAATGAAAAATGAAATTTTACATCCCATTCAAAACCTTCATGCCCCACTTCCCAGCTAATGTGAGGCTCCCATTTCAGTCTTAAGAGGCAACTCCGTCAAAAAATGTTTCTCTTCTTTCACCCAACTTCATATGTGCGAATATTTTCTCACGCCATGCGTCCACAAGACCATTATGCATGAGCATAAATCCATCTCAGTTCGTCAAGATGTGAACATGCTTTTGTATCCATAGATATAAGTCAGTCATGTAAATGCTCTCTGGGGTGTACACCTTTGCATCTGACCGCCGATAATTATCAGATATCTCTTATATACTTGCGTTGGCGACCCGCAACGCATTTCACACCGCTTGAAAACCCTCCCGTTTTATAGCCCCGGAACCACCTCTGCTGTGGCTTTTTGCCATGTCGAAATAATATTCATACTAATGACAACACTGTCCTATTTACTGGGAACATCGGCCACTGCCGCAAACACGAGACAATGCGTAATGCACGAGACAATGCGTGAGGGGAGGAGGCAGAATCGGCCGCCGAAATAGAGCCAATGCCTTTCGGCTCTGAGTTCTCAACTTCCGCATATATGACATAATCCTATCAAGGAAAACTTCACTTCATGAGGTAAGCATAGGGTGGTGCGCGCCGTTTCAAACTTGCAGCATTGTTACCGGCAACCTAAATTAACGTCTACTTACTTCCAAGTAATTTCTCCTCATGGTTTTGAAAACGCACATTGCAGTACGGTTATTGGCAACCTAAATCAACGTTCACTTACTTGCAAGCAACGTCTCATCATGGCTTTGAGAACACTGCAGACGACAGAGGATCCGAGGCAACGCCGTACGTCCGATTACCGCATGACGGTGGCAGCCGTGCGTCCGATTAACGCACGACGATGGCAGCCCTCCGTCCCTCGCGCCGCCGCTCCCAGCACTGCAGCCGAGGCATGCGGGCGCCGTCGTCAGGGCTTGGAAAGTGAAATCACGTGATCTCGTGACGTCAGCGGTACGCACCCGGCTGGGCCGCCGTACCCCGCAATGCTGATTGTGGGAATTATACCGTTTTGTCATTGACTAACCGATACCGACAAAGCTATGAAACAAGCACCATATGATATCGCGTTTGGTACGCCTTCCTCTATCGAAAGCTTTCCGCTGTTTTTTCTAAATCTTACCGTTCACGCAACATGGTGTCAAATCAAATCTTGTCGAACCTCATTCATGAATCTGTTTCCAACAAGACACACTTTTAAGTACCCGTAAGCGATTCAAATGCTCATTTTGCCAGTTTTTGTAAAAATAAGGCTACAAATACCTCGTGAAAAAGACCACATCACAGCACGGAGTTTGGCAGTGACAGTACCATACTCTGTGCGAGGCAACAGCGAAACAGGTACACGACTGCAGCTAAACAATGCAGCCTCCAGTTTACTATCCAAAAAAACATCTCCAACGGCCTGGGCTGACCATCTCCACCCTCAAGCCCGTATCATGAACCAGCTAGAAAGCTGGCTCCACACTATCAAACTCAGCATAAAACTACCATCTCGAACGGCCTGGGCTGACCATCTCCACCCTCAAGCCCGTATCATGAACCAGCTAGAAAGCTGGCGCCACTCTATCAAACTCAGCATCAAACTAACAAAACCCTGCATCTGAGCCTGCCTGAAGTCCATTGCAAAGCTTCCATCTGAACCGGCACCAGGCTACCGTCGCGCAGGCAAGCCTCCATTTTCATGGCACAGAGAGGTCGGGAGCATGAGCACCCGCTGATGCAGTCAGTTGCACTTGTTGTGGTACTTATTCTCCGCATTCGTGTTTCCGAATACCGACAACAAGTCTTACAATGGAATTTCGAACACTTCGGTGCGGTGCATTCTTACACTACCACATCCTCTTGGCATTAAAGTCAAACGGATAAGTAGTCAGTTTCAATTTATGTAACGCTAACTAAGACATAGCTCACCCCCGTTTGACTATATTCCATTTTTTACCTCCTTTAAAGGGAGTGTTTTACGCTTAGGCCAGGTTTCGAACTGAAAGAGCCATCTTAAAGAACTCTTGGCGCAGTTCACAGCCCTGTCCTTCTGGAGACCAAAAGCCCTCTAGTTCCTGAGCTATATGTTCGCGAAAATGGTGCAGTATTTTGAGGAGAGTATGTGAAGGTCATCTTGGCATTAATGGCGTCCCGATAAGGCCATTCAAATCCTGCCATTTCATAAGCTGTGCGGCGATCAGTGCCGATACCAAGATGTAATGGTCGAATCGTTCATATGAAGCGTACGTGATTTCCGTTTTTTCATTTCATTGTCAAATTTCATTCAAATCATTTCCACATTTCCATTCCGTGATTTCATGAGCGCGATTTCCAGATGTAACGACCATCAATTGGCTCTCAATCAATGTGGTGCAAGGTGCAATAACGCAATCAAACAATGACGTATCGGGGAGCATATTGACTAAACAGAAAACTTGTGTTGTCTAGAGCAGTCTTTTCTTCTTAAAAGTGCATTAATAGTTATAAGTGAGCTTGTTTCATCACATCTGATGCTTTCTTCATTGCATTCAGATTTGATACATTCCCTTTAATAAAATAAAGTTAAAGGCCTACTTGATTTTTGCGCAACGGAAACCAGGCAAGCACATACGGCACTGTTTAATTGATAGACAGTATGTACACAGGAGTTTTGATTGTTAGTTGACTGGAATTAATAGCTATTGTAAACAAAGTTCATGCACCATTTTTTAGGATGCAATGACTAAAAAGTCATTGGGAATTAATGGTAAGGCATGCGCGAGAAGAAAATGATCAAAAAGGTGCACAAACTTGCAAGAGGGGCAGTGAGGGCAGATTTCCAAAAAAGTGTTTTTAATATGCAACTGCTGTCCTGTACCAGTACACTGGATTTCAATTTTGCTAAAAACAAAGCTTTTTTACTTCCTTAAAGGAAGTGTTCCACATTTGAGGAGGTTTTGAATTGAAACAGCCATCTTGAAGATTACGCAGTGCGGTTCACAGCCCTACCCTTCTAAGACCTAACGCCCCCTAGTTTCTGTGCTACACCCTGGCGAAGATGTGCAGACTTTTTTGGGAAGCTATTTCAAGGTCACCCAGGCATTGATGATGCCATAGTAACTTCATTCAAATGCTGCCATTTCATTAACAATGTGGTGATGAGGGTGAAAAGAAAAGAAAGCTGTCGAGTCGTTCATGTCTAGCGTCAGGGAGCACCATTCCCAAATGCAATGGACGTCAATCAACTCTTAACCAATGTCGTGTAAGGTACGATGACGTAATCAAACAATCAAAAATTGAGGGAAATATTGACTAACTGAGAAATTGTGTTATGACAAATATATATATATATATATATATATATATATATATATATATATATATATATATATATATATATATATACCACATATTTATATCATATGCACCTATTTTAAATGCATACTAAATAGCATCCATAGATATGTATGTTATCACTGCTACGTAGAGAAATTGTGTTGCCAACAGCAGTTTTTTCCGCTTAAAAGTTTACCAATGGCTATTTGAGCTTACTTCAGCATGCTTCATGTTTATTTTAATGTCTTCCGGTGTGGAACATTCCCTCTGAAGTTAAGCTGACAAGATAATCAATGCATGATGTCAGTTTCACAATTCCAAAGGCTAAGGAACATGCAGAATATACCAACATACACATCCCTGTAGATAACTAACAACATTGAAAAGCATGCCATGACCTTTGCTGCGAACCTCAAAACTTCTAAGAGATTATATTTTATTCTGAACAGATTTCATTCGGGATGGTGCTGAGACGACTTAAGTGAAGATCCGTAGCGCAGGCAAAGTGGGCAGGGGGGGAGGGGGCACTGGAAAGATAAATAGAAAGATGCATGTATTTGGGAGTTACCACAGCAATTCTTTTAGCTTCCACGTCAATGCACGCACAATTCGCAGGAGGGAAAACAAACGGCGCATAAGAAGTCGGCAACTGCACGACAAGATTCAATAATCTTGTTAAAGGGGAGCTCAAGATAGCCCTTAAGGTCGTGTTGCTTGCGACCTCTGACACCCGCACGTCTGCAGGTTCCATCCGCTAGATGCGCCAAGCATGAACGGCTGGCGCCCAAACTCAGTTCGGGCACAAGGCCAACTGCAGTTGCTCAACGGTCGGTGCTCGAGCGGCATGGGTAGACAGATCAGAGCGGCATGCTACGAGCTCTCGTAGCGCCTCTGTAATCAGCATCTCCGGAGCGCGGGTGCTTGTGAGGATATCAAGCGTGACTATAAAATCGCGCTCACATATCAGTTCGTTGATTTTGCGCCCCCCCCCCCCCCTAGTTCGCACCTGGTGGTACCAATCACCCGGTTCGCACAGCGTGGGTGTGACTCGGTGCGTGCACATGGCACTGCACAAAAACGGGCACCAACTCGAAACACTTTGCACGCATTGTTTCTGTGTCACATTACAGCTCCCCATATCGACAAACAATATCGCACATGGGGAACACAAGTGCCTCGATCAGAAGGTTTGTAGTGAGATCAGTAAGAATGCATTAGCACCGGGGGACGATGGTGGAGATGTGTTCTTCCCCATGAAAGGCACGAATTGGTGGTGACACCCATAATCGTGACAGTCTCTGCAGGGGCGGATCTAGCCTGGAGTTGTTTTTTTTTGGGGGGGGGGGGGGCAACCGTTCGTCGCCAGCTGGCTGGTGTGGGATCTGAGGTCCAGTGCATGGCGCCTCTCGCGAATACCTAGTAGGGACACCATTCAAAACCGAAGAAAGCACCGAAATGCTTTTGAATCTTAAACAGAAGTTAAATCAAAACAGTTAAAACAAAGTTAGAACAGACGGTAAGTAGACGAAACTTTTATGAAGTTTTGGGAATGTTTTGGGGGGCCAAAACATACTTTCAGAGGTTTTGGGAGGGATTGGCCCCGTGCCCCCCCCCCCCCCCCCAGGATCCGCCTATGAGCCTCTGAATGTCTGCTGTGAAATATTAACATAAAGGTGGCGGCCGGTTCTTAATGGCGGAATTTAATGAGGACCATATCCGTCTTGAGATGATTGATTTCAAGATTCTTTTGAGTGAGCTCATCACTCACTACCGCGAAAGCATCCTCACACGTCTAATAAGCTCAGGAATGTCCAAGGGTAAGGCAGCGTCAAGAGTCTGGGTGTCATCGGAGCGCATTGTGATCTTTCTGTACTGCGTATGCTTAAAGAAATGAGACAGGCGACTTGACTCGGCATTACTACCCAGAGGCTTAAGCACTCTGCAGAATGTATCATAACCTGTGGGCACGTGCCCCTCCCCCCTCCTTAGGTTCTGAGGGACCTGCTGGCTTCTCGGGACCGGCGATTAAGGGTCCGAGGGGCCCCGCAGGGGCACCGGCTTCGGCCGGTGTAGGGGACTAGAGCCCCCTCGGGTCCCAGCTCCGGTAACGGGTGGACAGCGCAAGCTGTTCCTTTCAGGGCATAACTACCCTGCCGGTACGTGAGCTCGCGCCACTTGTCCCGGCCGCTCCCTTCCCTCTACCCGCTTTCCCGCACACGGCCCACTCATCATTCCTAACCCTCGTTTTATTGGGGTCGCCATGACCCCTCGCCCGCGTTCCCGGGTTGATCGGATCCTGGTGGCTGAGGGGCGCGTCGTACGGGTCAGTCGCGGCGCATCCCAACACTCCACTTCGGCCAGGATATCCAGGGGCGCGTGGGGGGGGGGGGGGCTGTGGGGCTCCTGACGGGTCTAGCGGCTTGTCGCTCACACTGCGGCTGGGTGCTCCGCGCGGGTCTCCGCTTGGGGCGCCTGGCCGTGCGCAGCGGCTTAGGAGGTCAAGGGGCGGCGGCGCTGAACCACGGTCAGGACGGGGATGGGTCTCCAATGTTACACCTGACCGTGT